AAACCCTAGTAAACCCTAAACCCTTTGGTGTAGTGTCCGAGCCCGGAGTGAATAAAACTTAAACCCGAAACCATAGAATACGGTTGATGAGATACATCCTCCCCAAACTATGGGCATTATGGTGTATTCCTTATCATGGGTAGCGCAGGATTTATATCATCAACCGTAGTTTGCTGGTCCTCCCCACGGTGCCAAACGACAACCCTTAAACACAGAACGCCCCAAATCCTAAATCCCAAAGCAACTGTAAGCCCCGGACGTTGAGACTTCTGCAGAAGCAAAAGAGCAGATACCCAAAATATCAAGTCTAAGCCCTTACAAACCCAACGCGATTCACCGCACAACCCCTCAGTCCCACACGCTTCCAAGCCCGAAGCCCCAAACCCCAAGTTCTTGTACTATAGGGGCGCGGGTTTAGGGTTTAGGGTTTACCTACACTATTTTCGGGGGTTCCTTATTATATAATTACTAACATAGTACAACATACCTCAAAACCCTTTTGTAGTGATTAAGGCCCCGACAGTAAACCCCAAGCGCCCTTCGCCCCCACACTCCAAAACTCCCAAGCTCGGCGAGCCCAAAGCCATGAACCCCAAGACGTTACAAGCCGAAAGCCCTACCAACCAGAACCCACCAATGGCCCCTTAATAGAGCCCTTATGGTCCCTAATAGTAGGTATTTGGGGTATAATAAAGGGTAGTTGGGGTGTCTACCAACACCCTAAACCCCCAAGCCCTAAACCCTAAACCCCAAACCCCCGAACGGCAAACCCCCAAACCATAAACCCCAAGCCCCAAAACCCCAAACCCTTACACATAAGCTCCCGTCCTTCAACAGATATTATCATCAAGCCCCACGGCGCTACGGTTAAGGGTTTAGGGTGCAGGGCTTAGGACCTAATATAGGGGCCAGAAGAATTACCTATATTGTTTTGGGGGTTCCTTAAACCTTATTCTAGCTAGTAAGGAGCATATATCATGGAGTTGGAGGTTTAGGATTTACGGCTTAGGATCCAGCCTCTACCCGTCACTGGCAGATGATTTCTATCATTGAAAGCCAGAACCTGACCTCCTGCACTTCCTAAACTCCCCCCCCCCCCCCCCCC